TCATTTTCCAGTGTGTTATAGATGAAAGTAGTTTATCTCCTAGTTAAAAGAAAAGGGTAAATCGGGCTAGATACATAGGGGTAAGGGTCATGTCATGGTCAGAGTATACAGAGGAAATCAGGCTAGATTAAGTACTCCAGAAAGGAGAAGTCAAAACCAACAAATCCAAGATGGAGTACAGTTGACAATCTGTCTGTGGCTTGTACCTGGTGGTTGGTGCCCATGCCTGCTGGGCACTCCTCTGCAGTCCTCTTTCTTTCTCTGTCATTCCAATATGAAATCTCTCCTGTTACTGAGAACCCATTTTAAATTGTTGGGGTTATCTTTGTTTGTTTGGTTGGTTTGGTTTGTTTTTAATTCTGCATGATTCTAGAAGAATACTTTTTTGTTTACTTCCCAAAGACTGAATGGCATCTGTAGTATATCCATGCTTTATGGCTGAAACCAAGGGGGAATTCAAGACTGTATCTATTTAATAGGCATAGAAGTAATGACACTGAAGGATGAGTATCTCTTTAATCTACTAGGTAAGCAGGCCTAACATAGCACTCAGCAGATAGTTACCAAAATTTTGGTTGAATTAAGTGGGGGAATTTGTAATATTTAAAGAGTTATATTTAAACATAATTTGAGCATGTTGTTATAAAGTCTGTTTAAGACATATGGTTATAAATAATAAATTAGTATTTATTTTAGCAAAACCATTTAGGAATTAATTAAGCCTATTATTTTGAATGTTGTAGCTGTAGACGTTTTGATATTACAAACCTCAAAATGTTTCCCTGGTATCTCTGAATCCATAAAATGTCCTGCAGATCCATGGGTGGAGGGCTTTGGATCAGTCCTCTTAAGCTTGATAACTAAGTGGGAAGCAAATATAGTACAAATACCGGATCAGTCCTCTTAAGCTTGATAACTAAGTGGGAAGCAAATGTAGTACAAATACATCACAAACAGGCCATTTCTTTTTCCCACCCAGGGACATAAAAGATGGAGGAAATTTTGATACTGGGTGGGAAGGTTTTGTAAAAGCACACATAGCCACAGCACTGAGTAACTTCTTTCTGATTCAATTTCATAAATTGCTACATGAGGAAGCACTCTCCGGTAGATAACACTCAGAAATCAGCACTTAATATGGCAGTAATGGTTATTGCTGTCATTCTTTACATCTTTAAAAATAATTAAGCATTACTGCACAGGCATTATAAAGTTCCCCTATCACCATTAAGAGGATATTTGAGGTTTGATGTAATTTAGCAAATTACATTATACAGTAGTTAAGGTTTTATGCAATGGGGTAAAATGAGTAGTAGTTAAGCACACTTACCATACAATGCATTGTACAGAGTTACACGTTCCAGCTGCTGTCAGCTTTGTTCCAGTGTCATTATTGCTTTGCAGGCTGACGTTCCTCAGGGAGTGATTCGAGTGCAAGCTCCCCATCTTTCAAAAGTTTCCATGGCAATACAGCTAACTGAAGAACTAAAAGCCAGCGATGTACTTGCCAGGTTTCTCAGCCAAGAAAGGTAAAGGCCTGTTTTAATTATTCTGTGGGATAACTCATTTTTATATTTATTCTCTCTCTCTCTCTCTCTCTCTCTCTCTCTCTCTCTCTCTTGTGTGTGTGTGTGTGTGTGTGTGTGTGTGGGTGTGTGTCTTCCCATCAGAAGAACAAAGCAGACTTGACAATTAGACCACTGGAGTGAATGGTGGGAATTTGTCAGAGGTAGCTCGTGTTCAGGTCGAGCCTGTTTCAGACGGCATGTGTGAGTATCCCTCGACCATTTGCCTGCAGTGAGCTTGGCAAATGAAATTATTCGATGGTCTTCCCAGAACACGTTGGTTGGAGGTTAATTACTGTTTGTAGGTTGTTACGAAGATTGCTAATTAGGATGCAGCAAGATTAAAATGAAGACGTAACTTTCTCTATGAAATTTAATGAATAAGAAAGAAACGTTCCAATTTAAAAACTGAAAGCTTGGATGATTGAGAGAGGACACCCAGTCCCTGAGGTCTGAAGTCACAAGAAGAGAACAAGTTGTCCTCATTAGGGACATCCAAGTCCTTCCTTTGTCCTGGGGCTGATGCTGTAGATGCTTAGAAAGCTGTACTCTGACTCACTGTACTCACTGTCGTCTGTATCCTCCCATTCATCCTGTCTGAATTTGAGAGGTCTTGATAAGCTTACAAAGATTTTAGCTTTTCCCCTTTTAAACATCTCATTTTGGCAGTCAGTTTTAATGGCATTCCCCCTATTTGTGTGTGTGTGTGTGTGTGTGTGTGTGTGTGTGTGTAAATTTGTGGAGTTCATTCTCTTTCCATCTTGATATGAATTCTAAGCACTGAACTCAGGTCACCAGGCTTGTACAACAGCCTCCTTTACCTACTGAGCCATCTCACCAGCCTCAATCTAAAATTCTGGAAAGACACCCAGCATCTCAATGTATAAGTATCCCATTTTAGGCTTCCCTTTGCGTTAGTCTCATTCTAACAATGGGGGCTTCCATCAGATTGTCTGCTGATGCCGCTGCATGTCAGTACAGTACCTTATGCTAATGTTTGTACTCCAATAAAGACTCGGAGCCCCGTGTTAAAGAAGGAGGAACCTTCAAATAACCACTGCTCCCCCATCTCGTAAGTTGGGAGAAAGGATGGCTCTCCAAAGATGGTGGTGAAATGGATGGGGATTTTGAGTAATAACACAGTCCCTTGCAAAACAGCTTAAACTTCCTTGCAGTATCACTGTGCCTCAAAGACAATCCAATCATTCGTTCTGCTTCACTGATAGGAACTTGACTGGGGAACATTTTTATCCCAGGTCACACAGCTGGAAATATAAACCTATATGTGTGTTCACAGAGGCAGCCCCTAAAGTCCTCTCTGCACCAGCTCCGGGGAGTCACGTCTGACATTAAGCCCTGAGTTGAATCTCTCAGAATTGGGGGCTGGAAGCATTAGGAATTTCTCAGGCTGATCCTTTCTCCCTGGAGTGTCTCAGCTGTAATGAGGCCAACCCTCTTTCTTGCTCCTCCCCATCTTTGACTTGCAGATGCCACCTTTGACCCTTTTCCTCCCATGGCATGTTCCATTCCCTCCCAGAATGTGTCTGGAGATTTGGATAACTTGAGTCAGGAGCATCCTACAAGCTCCTAGAACTCAGTTCTGCTCATCTCCCCTACTTAGATTTTCTGAACATAAATCCTTATGAAGTTGTGAGATCTTGTTCAGCTGCGACTCCAACACTTTTGGGTATAACATGAAACATTAGTCAGTGTATTCAAATGCACGCTATTCTGTCTTCAACTTAGGCTGGTGTTTTCAATGATAACATTTTATTTTTGTGTACATTTATATGCTCATGGTACACATGCCACAGTGCTTGAACCAGTTTTCTCCTTCTACCGTGTGGGTTCTGGGTCATGAGGTTTGGGAAGTTCCTGCTGAACATGTCCCCTGTCCTAGGTTAAAGTCTCTTGTTCTCCATTAGGAAGAACAAGACAGACTAGCACTTCCTTGTAGTCTTGTGAGAGTTGACTAGGAAAGTGGCCAATAAGTCCTCTTGACATTTGTCAGGGCCATAGAGTGGCGGAAGTGCTCAGTAAATGTTTGTACTATAGTTTTCCTGTACCACAAACTTGTGTTTCCCCCACTTATATTCCACCTATTTGGGACAGTAAGGAAACTCTGTCTCTTTCATCATTCACTTCCTAACTCTCTCTGTCAAAAGCCAATGAACACACATGTGAACACAAAGTACAATAAATTGACTATTAATTCATCAGTTATTGGTAAAGTATGGATGCCTTCCATCAATCCTTAGGGATTTGTTGACTTTATATGAAAGCTGTGTCATAAAATTTGTTCAGCTTTCTGTAAAATGAAAGAACTATATAGACACTTGAGAACCACTCTGAGGGCAATATTGGACTCGATTCTTAAAAATCAAGTCTTTTAGAACATTCTTTGAGGGTTTTATAGCCACAGTAACTCTTGGGTGGGATCAGAATGTAAACATTGGATGGCATACAAGGCAGCAGGTGAAACTGACGTGTGAGTACACAACCCCGAGCAGATAGTGATGGTGTGGGCATAGAGGCGGGGAGAGAATCGCATAACCAGAGAATCATTAACAGGCTGCTTAGAAAAGCTGCAGTTATGCCAGGAATTCCTTATAGCTGGAGTAGACTCAGACTTGCTCATTTTCTTCCCCGCCTACATGATGTGTCTCCTCTAGACTTCCTACATGCGTGTCTGTACACTGTGTCTGTGGAGGTACAAAGAGGGTATTTGATCCCCTGGAACTGGAGTTACTGCTGGTTGTGAGTTACCTTGTGGTTGCTGGGGATCAAACCCCAGTCCTCTGGAAGAATCGTCAGTGCTCTGAACTGCTAAGCCATCCCTCCTTTGGACCTTTATCAACAGCCCACAACCTCTCCAGTCACCTAATCTACACACCAAAGAGGATTTTCAAAGCAAACTCCCGAGCTTCCTCCTGGAAATAAAAGTTTGGTTCTAAAGTCTTGGCAGGTTTCTGAAGTAATTATTTTACAGAAACCTTTGAAAAATCACTGGATTGTAATTTGTGTGTGTGTGTGTGTGTGTGTGTGTGTGTGTGTGTGTGTGTGTGTGTGTTTAACATTTTAGAAAAGTTTACTTTTGTAACCAAAATGGAAAACCTAAAATATATAAAGTTATGGAGTGGTGAGAGGCTCCCATTCCTGGCTATACTACATAATGTCAAAACATGGCTAATTCTATCTGTTTAACTTCACCTTCAGTGGCTTTTTATGGTGGGTGGAAAATGCTATTCTTGGAAGACTGTAAGTGTCTAAATGTAACATACCGAGTGAGCAAATACTAAGTGCCATGAGGAAACTGAGTCAGGATCTTAGCCCTATGAAGAGTGGGTAATCTTATCAATCATGTAATATCCGTGTTCTATTAACTTGACTTTCTGGTGTTTACGAATTTAGATACTGCTTTATTCTTTTGCCTCCAGATATCTGATTCTATTTATTTCATTTCCACGTGTGGCATCTTGAATTACCTGTAGGGCACATTTAACAGATGGGAAAATACAAAAGTGTGTAACTGCAGTATGTCTAACTTAGGAATTTTCTATGCTAGCTCAACTTTCCCGGTCTGCTAAATTGATTTACTTGTAAGCTGTTTGAGGATGCAACTAATGAGTTTGTCTTATCCCTCACAGTGGGGTTGCCCAGACACTTAAGAAAGGAGACGTTTTTCTGTATGAAATTGGAGGAAATATTGGTAAGAACATTTTTTTTTCTAAATGCTGACTTAATGTTACCAGTTTTTGTTATTTATGTTTGGAACAAAAATATTTCTGTATGTGAAAGTAAACATACCATGCCTTGGGCAGTTGCTGTATAGTATGGATTTTTTCAGTGGTCAGTCCTTTCTTCCTGGGACCTCTTTATGAGCTCCTCTGTCCAAATAATCATTCACACTCAGCCTTTGTACATTTGACTTTTCATTTCACAATTTGATCTTGGAAATTAGTTTGGTTTCTTAGCTAAATTCAAGACTACTGCTATGTTTAATGCAGGTGAGGTTGATTTTAATGACGCATTTAAAGTCTACCCCACAAAGTATTTTTGCTTCTTAATTTAATTTGATATCAGCACTAGAGAATGACTACCCAACTGATGTTTTCAATGCCTTGGCCAATTCTTTGAATATTGTCATGAGAAATAGGGAAAAGGGACAAATGTTTTGAAAGCTAAGATTTTTAACCATTGGGGCTGATTTTATGATTGTACCTGCACTCACCCACTATGTTAACTGGTACCAAATCTCCTTCACAGGGGAACGCTGCCTTGATGACGACACATACATGAAGGACTTGTACCAACTGAACCCAAATGCTGAGTGGGTCATAAAATCCAAGCCACAGTAGAAGACTAACTAGAGGACTAGTATCATCATTCATTCTTGCTGAGTCAAGAGTGTAAATAAAAGTATCAGGTTTCTTAATTATTCAGCTGTACCCAATTATTACAAAGTGATATTGCCACGCCTTAAAATTATAGATTTTTGTGGTTTCTGTAATTGTTAATTATTATTATTAAGGAAACAAGTATTTTTGGAGTTGAGAGGAAAGGGGCGTAATTAGCTTGTGGGCTGTTTATATACACCTTAAAATGTGTTCAGATATGACAGCTGTTTGGTTTTATGTTTTGTTTTTTATGAAATAAATTCTCTACAACTTTTTTTTGGGGGGGTGCTGGTTTTTGAACCAGAACTTTACTCATGAAGGGCAAGTGCTTCATGACACCTAGTGATATCCCCAGCAGATTAAATCATCTTTACTAATAGATTTACCAAAGAAGTTTTGGTTTATTTACATTTTAAGAACGTTCTCTCCCCTTTCTTACCTCTTCCTAGCTACCTTCTCTCAATAAAACTTGCCTTTTTAACCAGAAAGAGACAGTTAATAGCAGGTATGGGGAAGCTGTGAAGGCAAACCTAACTCAACAGTATTTTTGTTACCACAAAATGTTAGTGTCCATGGCTCTGGATCCTCTGTCTGAGCAATCCTTCCTGCTACATCCCAGCCAGTTATTTTTTCCAGCTTCCCTTACTTCTGTGCACAAATCTGTATCCATCATCAAAACCCAAACTGTCAGGAACGTCCAATCATCACCAAAGCATAAAACGCTTAAACACTCCAGAGAAATAATATGATCCATAGAGAATAACTGAATCACCTCTGACCATAATGTGAATTGCCAGACCAGTCTTATGTGCGCCACACTCTTCCAGATGGAATCTGGAAAGTAACCTATAAAGTTACCTGGCAACATTATAAATATCATAGTAGCACAACCTGAAACAACTGGAGAATGCATTGGGAAATGGCCCTTTCTGTCCCCACCCGACTTCCCTCCCAGAATGAGTCTTCTGGGTGTGACAATTGTTGATGTCAACAATTTTGCCTGTTTTCATATTTTAAGTAATCTGAGTCAACTTGTTACAGAAAGTATTATTCCCAGGGCTTTTCATGCACAGACCACACTGTGACACAACGTGGACCTCTGCTGTAAATAAGAGAAATGAAATAAGAGCATTGATTTGCTGTTTTATAAGGGTAGAGTGTCATTGGTACAAGGTGGTATGGATAGATGTGGCACCAATATCTTGATGACAGTGTTCATAGTTCTTTAGGGGAAGCTACACATTCTCAGAAGCTCTTGATGCCACTCTAATTAGGAAGGAAAGTGCCGTTAATGAGAACAGCGAAATGTTGAGCATATAATTACAAGAGCAGCCTGTGGATAGATGCTTCAGTAACGCCATGGTGATCTGTGCCATTGCTTTTTTATTTAAAGAAATTTTATAATTAAAAGCCTTTTTCTAAACGATCTTCTCTTGGAATTATTACTTTTATTCCAGTGTGTTCACGGGTCTCCTTTTGTCTTTTTAAATCATTTTAATTAACAGTCTATTTTCATTGTAATTAAGTCTCATCTGCTCTTTTATTGGTTCTAAGTTCCTGTGTAGTTTTTAAGTTTGAAAGACGTGTGAGACAAGCTCATTTCCTTCCTCACATTTCTTCTATTTTTCTTTACATAAATGTCTACCCTTTGGGACTTTCAGAACACATTTTGTGCTGTTTATTATACAAGTATGTTCATTTCCTGGATAGCAAAATTTTTTATTGATGATTTGGTACAAACAATGAACAACTCTAAAGAAAAATTATGTGCTTAAAACATTAAGGGATCCATAGCAACAACAAAAGGGCAGGAGTCAGGATAGTGATTTAAAGAAGTGTTTCTAGAACACATGTCAACTGATTCTTAGCAGACTGACTGCCTACCCAGGGAAGCTGGAAGAATTCCTAGGGTTTCTTGTTTGTTTGGTTGCTTGCTTGTGGTTTTGTTTTGTTTTGTTTGTTTTTTTGAGACAGGGATAGGGTTTCTCTGGGTCCTAGAACTCACTCTGTAGATCAGGCTGGCCTTGAACTCACAGAGATCCTCCTGAATCCTGGGATTAAAGGCATGAGCCACCACCACCCAGCTGAGTTCTGAGGTTTTGATGGGGAAATGAAAAGGCCTTTTTATTCTGAATCATTCTTAGAACTCATGGCCTAAATTCATTGGCACTGAACAGTGCATTTAAAATAATACAATCACATATTATATATGTATATAATATATTATATAATATATTATATATAAATATATAGTATATAATATAATAATATATTATATGTAAATATATATATTTACTCTTACAGAAAAGAATTTCATATTGTGGAGCCTCAGATATATGTCCTGACATTAACTCAAACGCTTTTACTGTGATTTTTTTTTTTTTTTCATTCCAGTAGGTTTTAATTTTCGGTGTACATCTGTTTGGTTGAGAAAAGGACAGTGAAGTGAGAACAAACACATTTGCTTTGAGTCTCAAACATTTTAACACTTATGGGAGTTGCTGGTGGGAAGTCTGAGAGCCAGTGATTAGAGAAGAATGCTCACCCTGCTTACCCCTCCCTGGGGCTTCCTGCTCTCATCTCCTTGTTCTGGCTTTCCTGCTTTGCCTCCTCACCCTCTGGAGTAATCCTTCTAGATATTTCTGGTCCTTGTTATTCCTTTCACTGATAAACACCTTCACTTAGTATAGTTACAGAAATTGCTATAAATTCCTTGTTGGCCATTTCTGGGAAAAGTCAATTGTTTTTTCAAGTTTGTAGAACTGGTTTACACTTTGCATTTTCCTGATTTCCCAAGTACTTGTCAGCAGGTGGCAGTATTGGGCAGAGATTCCTTTGAATCCAAAGAACAAGTTTTAAACAATGAACACGAACAAGTTTATAACATAACATTTCATTGCTGTGACTTGGTGGGTGCCAGCCACCTCCAGCAGTTAGATGGTAACACTATGGCACTCTGTTTTAGTCACTCATTGTGCAATTATAATAGCTAACCTCAGGGTTTTTGTTGTTGTTTTCCGTGTGTGTGTGTGTGTGTGTGTGTGTGTGTGTGTGTGTGTGGGATGAATTAGTCTGCTTTAGTCCATAAACCAGAATGAGTATGTGACAGGTATATCATACCTAGTAATATCAGAAGTGCTGTGAGTCGAAATGGAAAACCAGGAGGATAGGGACAAGGAGCTCACAAATAAACACTTCTGGGCCATTTGTTTCAGTGTGCGCGTTTCAACAAATTGGGAACTTCCTGGACTTACTGGACACTTACATATGTGTCAAGTAGTCTGTACCCTTGAGATTCCATAGTGGACAAAATAACCAAAAGCATTGACCTTATTGGACTCACATTTTAATGAGGGAGACATTAAGTCATAAGTAAACAGAACTATAGAGTATAATGAAAGGTGGTGAGGACAATGGGGATAGAAAAGAGATGAACAGAGCAAGTAGGACAAGGGCTGGAGAGAAGAGCATATGATAGCATGCAATGAGGGGTCGCCTTGAAGGGTTGAGAAGCAGATGTGCAGAAAGAGGGATTTTCTGTGTGGCTATTTGAAATGATGTTCTAGACAAAGGGAACATTTAGGATCAAGGTCCACTGTAGGAATGTGCCTTGTCAACAGTGTGGCTGCAGTGGAGTTAGGGCCAGTGAGAGCAAAGGTCAGGGAGAGAAATGCAAAGATAGAGTCCAGGACCATGAGAGCCTTGCATTAGAGGGGCAGTGATTTATTGGTCAGATCAGAACAGTCAGTGAAAGGGCACTATTGGCAAAAGCTATGGCTGAGAAGTAATGAGACATCGTGGTCACTCCACAGTGAAGGCAAAGCCTTTCTGGCAGGAGACAAGAATGTGCAATCACAAGATTTTTATCTTGGCTATTCATAGGGTGGAGTCTGGATAAACAGTGCCCTTGGCTAAGACTGAGGGGGAGGGAGTGTGGATTTTATAGAGAAAACAAGGACTGAAGTCCTAGCGCTTCCTAGTTTTGGAGGCTAGGACTTGAAGGAAGCAGGGAAGTATTAGAAAGAAACTTCTCCTAAAATAAGAGGTGTAGTGTATGAAAAACATGTGAAGGAAAGCCACTGAAGTCACAGCACATCTTCTAGCTCAAATGGACTAGAGTTCATCCATCATGGATTTATCTATGTGAGGTCTTGTTGATTTTGATGCCTAGTTGAAAATATTTGGGGTGATTATTATAGCGGGGCTAAGTTCTCTTAAGGCGAACTGTTACTGGACAAAGACGACTAAGTGAGGCTAACTGCCAGGGGAGGCAGATGATCTGGCCTAGGTGAGGTTTTGAAGTTTGCTTATTTAAGTAACATTTTGAGGAAAGCTGTCATGAGTGCAGGGGACAATATTACTATGGTTATTTTGATGTGACTTTGGGCACATTCCTTACCTGACCTTCACCTTTCTGTTTTGTGTAAAGATGATAATGAGAATAGTCACTTTTTAGTAGCTTATTAGAATCTTTGTCAAAAGCTCAACAGCATACTAACCAGATAACAAGTAGTCAATAAGTGACAGTGTTTTTATTAGTGGTTTTAATGATTTAATATCAGAACAGTGTAATAAGAATTCTCACAATATCATGCTAGTGTTCCACTCTGTTTCCCCTCAACATAGAGCAAAGGCATAATAGACGTAATAATACCAGATTATAACAAACAGGAGAATCAGCGAAGGGGAGTAGCAACTATATTGAGAACAGTAAGGTCCTCCCCTCAGGTAATTCCCGTAGCACCTCTTAAAAATATTCCTTTCTCCAAGTTAGGAATCACTTCCAATATAGACACTTAAAGACTGCCCTCCTCCTCTTTATCTTGTTCAGGGGAATCAGCCAAAGGCCAAACAATTTCACTAGAAGTCTGTAGTACCACCTCTTTCTTGGAAGAGCAGTGCCATTGTCGGTTGGACAAAAAACATTTTTTCTCTACTTCACATGAGCTCGGCCCAACACTGAAGGTATTTATTTAATTTACAATTAAGAATGCCAGAAAGCTCCTGGAGGACAATCGAAGTGAGGCAGGAGAGATAATATGAACAAAGGGGTCAAGACCATGATGGGGAAACGCATAGAAACAGCTGACCTGAGCTAATGGGACATCTGACAAATGGGGATCCTTCGTAAGACCAAACTAGACTCCCTTAATATAGGTGACAATGTTGTGACCTGGACAATATATGAGGCCTCTGGCAATGGGTCCAAGATCTAATACTAATGCACAAACTGACTTAGTGGAGCCCATTCTACATGGAGAGATACCTTGTTCAGCTTAGACACAGACACACACAGACACACACACACACACACACACACACACATACACACACACACACACACACACACACACACACACACACACATTCATACTTGATATGCCTGGGAGAACACTGGGTTTCTTTTTTCAGCTGCTCACATTGGCCAAGATCCCTATTTATGGTCCTGGCTTTCTTGGGCCAATGATCTCTCAAATACCATGCTTAATACATATTGAACATCATACCCCTTCTACATCTCCTGGTCTCTCACCCTGGAATCTGGACTTCACATTATTTCCTCTTTGCAGTTGTGACCACGGAAGTTGTATGGAGCAGCTTGCTTCTGGGCAGAAGGGTGTGGCAGGAAACAAGGGAACCCTTTCCCCATTGTAACCATTTCTTTAATTCTTTAAGGTTTCTTTGAAGGGACTCCTGGGCTATTTTCCCATATAGCTGCACAGAGTATGAGTGAAAGCAGCTGGCTGCCAGGAATGATACTTGAGTTGTTTGTACCAGAAGCCATGACACTGGCTCTGTCTAGCAAGCTTTTCCTCTAGGGATTTCGAGTCTGTGTCTCAACTAAAGCCCCTCAGACATGCTTCAGAGAATGAGCCCCCACTCCCACTGTCTACTCTGCTTTTGATGCTTAGCCCTCACTGCATCTCAGCTGTTCAATTCTGTGTCTTATTGCAACTCCTGTGAACTTTACAAAATGACAGCTTTCATGTACTCTCTGCCTTAGGTCACCTTCCCTTCCAGCCAGGAGCCACCAAGAACAAGGCACATTCCCCCAAAGGGAGGTTCGAAGGAGAATGACCCTGGCATAATTCTTAGAAGTTTATCAGTTAACATTTTCTTTCTTTCACCTTCCTGCAGCCATGCTACAAGGACAAAGAGGGGACAGTTGAGCCATGACTTGTGCCTTTACAACTCTCAGTGGGCTGAATTTTGGGTATCTTACCTGTGTCTGCTTGCATCATCTAGTTTGGCAAAATGTCCGAGAAATCAGCTACAGACAATACATTTCCTTTGGTACAAGAGTCTTGAAACATGTCCTAGGTCATGCTTCACTTATTCCCATGCCTACCTAATGTTGAGAGGGAAGAAATTGTCATGCTTCATTTCACTCGCCTATTTATTTTGGTTCCTAGAATTGAACTGAGA